CTCGATACAAGTTGTACGTTGTATACGCAGTTTGATTGTTGTACTGGGCTATAAATATATTGTTGACGTCATCTTACTTGAAGCATCCAAGTTTTTCTAGTTGTGTAATATTGTTGCTACTACTGGGCTAGAAAATTATAGATTTTTCTGCTGTGTGCTACAAATACATACAGATTCAACAAGTTAAGTTCAGTCAAGAAAAAAGTTAGTTGGTGAAAGTTAGCTGAGGTGCGAGTGATTAGCCTTAATGGGTGATTTCTATAGCGTATTTCACAGTTGTATTGTAACAACACAGATAGGAAAAATAATCTGTATTGTCAATTGGGTTCTAAAGTAACTAAACCTTTTGACGAAAAAAAAAGAGGCAACTATTTAAGGCTCTGAATACAATTGTAGTAATCAACAAAAGTTAATTCAGAAAAAAGTTAAGTTACTGAATGTGAAGTTAGACTCCATCACTGTTAGTTTAGCCATAATGGGGGATATCTTAAAGTGAGTTTAACAGTTTAGCAAAGATAAGGGGAATAACTTGTCTTGTCAAAGAGTGTTCTGTGTAGACTTTGATGAAAAGGAGAGAATTATTTAAAGTTCTGGATACAACTGTGGTAACCCACAGGGTAACGTAAGTGAATTTATTGCAGACTGTATAGTGAGAAAGAGAAATAGAGAAGAATAATTCATCCTGTCAATTAATATTGACAATTCTGAAATAACTGAACTAGCCCATGTGGACTTTTGACAAGAAAATAGAATTATTTAAAGCTTTAAATACAACTGTGATATCCTTTAGTGTAAAGAATTTTGGTACATATGCTCGACTTGTTTTGAATATATTATTTTAAAACAAGTGGATTGTGTGCTGTCCATTTATTTGATATTTATCATCAACAAGTCACAGACACCTACTGTAGAAGAATCCATGCCAATATACATAAAACTATACATATACATTACAGAACTACTATGTGTCATATCAATGCTAGCCTGATGAGACTTGGTATTGGATGACAAGACATCATGGGGATTGGATATGGCAGATATAGTGTGGTTGGCATATTATTACATATTCTTTTTATGCTTTCATTCACAAATTCTGAGAAATTGAGCTACAAGGGACCATTTTGTCCTTCAAGGATATTCATGTACACATACTCACAAGAAAAAGTGAACATTTAATGTGTTTTTCAGGAAATCATCTATTCTCCTCTCAAATCTTTTAAGGTGCTGATGGCAGCTAATTCTATTGATTAATCACACTGCTTTTTCCAAATGTTAAATTTCTGTCAAAGAAATGAAATTAGAGACCTTTATCTTATTGATCCACAGATAATCACAGGCTTCAATAATATCACCTCTTAACCTATCTCTGCTAGAAAACCGTTCCATCCTTAAAATCATCTTAATAACCCTCTTGTGAACCATTTTCTATCAGTCAACATTCTTTCTTAAATAAGATCAAATCTAATTTGTGACTTGCATAGAGAGATAATTATCACTTTTGTTTTGTAATGAATTTGCCTCTAAATGTGGTATTCTCATATGTAGTGATTTCTGGACAACTATCAGATATATCTGCTAATAACAGTAGGGTTGAGAAGGAAATTTATGGAGTGGTCTGTGTTTGGAAACTTGAATGAAGTTTAATATTGTGTGAAAATTATAAAAGAACTTGACAACTTTTTGAAAAAAATAACACATTCTTTATACAAAAAAAGCAAACACATCATACATATTTGCACAGACACGACCACATTGGATTATCTACTAGGTGGTGTTTATTCATACAGACTATATTCTTTCAGGATTAATCTCTGCAAAACAAAAACACGGTATCTCAGATATGTTTTTTTACTCAATAGTCTTTCTAGTAGAAACTAAGAAAGCTCACTTTAATTCAGCAAGTAAACATTTTTGTACAGCTGACAGTGTCACCTCCTGACCCTTGTTTACTCAGAACATTCATTGGCTGCAACATACAAATATAATCAATTGGGCCAGCATAGGATATTACAGTCAATGACCCTATCAACATGGATGTTCCACATTACTGAAATATTATTTTGGTCAAATGTCATTATTCACATTAAAAAGTAAAGGAACAAAGCAACTAGAGCAAGGCAAATTTAAGTTTTCTGGACAATATGTTTGCTTGTGCTAAACCCACATAGAAACTAGTTAAATGAAATTTTTTAAATTCTTATGTCACTAAAGCTGGTAGAAAACATGATATGGATGAATATCAAACATTCTCCCCTTCTCTGTTTTATGCTAATCTTAAGCTACCAATTAAATTCAAGTTTAAAATTAATGACCTTTAAACTCACAATATGGTCAAGAACCACATTAACTGTCCTTTGTCTCTAAGAACACATGCACGCTACATGGATGACAACATCTTAACAATGAAGCTTAACTCAATTAAAAGAAATAAACTTCAACAATGATTTAAAATCGCATGATATAATAAGAATAAAAAAAGGACAAAACCTTCAAATAAGGTTTAAAATATAATGCATTAAAGGAATCTCTTCATTAATGTTTAAAAATACAAAAACTTCAATCAGACTTTAAAATACATATTAATATTTCACAATAAAAACTCCTAACAGGCAATATTTTAAGCAAGTTTCACAGTTTAATAGAGATAAGGAGAACAATTTGTCTTCTCAAAGGGTGTTCTAAATTAACTGAATCTATCTGTGTGGACTTGGACAAAAAGGAGACAATTATTCAAAGTTCTAGTTACAGCTGTGGTAACCCATTGGGTAATGTAAGAGAATTTATCACAGATTGTATCATGAGAAACAGAGTTGATTGGTTGTTTGGCATTTTTTAGTGCAAGGCAACTAGGCTATCTGCTCCAAACAACCAGTAAAAATGTAAAAGTAAAATTTTTATAAAATTTAAAAATAAATCAAGTTAAAACTAAACAACGTTCAAAATTCAGATAAAAGATAGAATTAAAAAGGCCAATGGCTCATAAAAATTTAAAAATACAATCAACTTGGACAGTGTCACCACTGCCAATGAAACCATCCAACATCAGGATTAAACCTTTAGAAAACGTGTCTAAAATGGTGGCGTCGTGCAGAATCATAACAATAGCATGACAGTAAAACATGGGCTATTGTGACTTGAGTGTCACAAAGGCTACACAATAGTGAATCAACAACAGATAAAAAAAAACGACGTGTAAAAAAACTGTGGCCAATGCAAAGCCTAGCCAGGACAACTTCCTCCTACCAATCCTCAGGAAAACAAGACGGCCAAACAGCAACAGAAGGTTTCATTTGGAAAAGCTTCTTATAAAATTGCTCACCCCAAGTCGACTGCCAACTAGCACAAAGCTGTCCCTTGAATACAGGACCATAGTCCATATATAGGACAGGCATGGCTGTGATAGCACCAGAGCAGATAGACTTAACTGCAGTGTCAGTGAACTTGTTTCCATGAATACCGACATGGCCAAGTATCCAGAAAAACTGGATAGTAATGGGAGATGAAGTAAAATAGACCATTTATTGTTGAATATTGACAAGAACAGAGTGAGAACTAGCATTAACTCTTTCAGCATGGGCTCAGTTCCTGGGACCGACCTCATAACCATTTTGGGCTTGTTATAGTTTTCATGTTATAACTTTTAAATTAGTAAGAGTATGGTAATGAAATTTGACAGATTATCAGTAAACATTACAATGATTACATACACAAAATATCTAATTTTTTTTTTATTAAGTCTTAAGGTTTATAATGCAGTGTTTTTCTTATGCCTTTTTTCTTTTCGCATCTTGCCCATCTAACATGCAAGGTAATTTTCATATTAAGATTAAAAATACTTTATGGATCAGAAAATTTTCAAATTTCACATGTGAGATCTTAATAATGTCCAGAGAGTTATCAAGAGAGTTCTTAAGATAAAACTTTATATTTTTTGTGTTATTTTCAGTAACAAATCTGTATGGGTTTGGTCTGTTTAACCGATCTTGATATCACGTTAAGAAAATTAGAAAATAAATATAAATT